ATGACAACAGTAAAACTTTGTCTTCGAAAACACCGGTTGATGATTTTAAACGTTCCTAACTTCTCAAAAATATATGCCAGTGTATCAATGTGTATTATCGTGAGATAACTCGATGTTATAGTATGATAATAAAAAAGAAATTATTCTATACCCTTTAATTATTATTATTATTATATTATTATTATCATTATCAATATATTACATAAACAATTCTTAAAAGCTATTGCAATACTTCTTGACCAAAAAAAAAAAAAAAAAACTAATCCTGTTATTGTAGTACGATGCATTAAAATATAGTCACATGATAACTGTTTTTTTATATAATTCAGTGAAATTGCGGTAATAAAATTCAATATCTAATATGAAATGATTATAAGCTCTTCCGCGAATGTAGGGCGGAAGATGAAACATCAGATACCATTGGAATCAATTCATCTTTCTTTTGTAGGACGAAATTTAATAAATTTTTTAGAATTCCTCCCTTATTATTTCGTATAAGAGCGAAGTCGGTATTATGTATATTTGGATCTGAAATTGAAAATTAAAAAACACGTGAAGACTCTCAGATTGGTCATGAAATTAACATATACAATTAATTAACAAGAATCATAAACGAACCAAAAGATGGTAAAGCATTGTCATTAGCACTTAGCGAAATAAAGTAAGCGAAAGGGACCATCCAAACACATATGCCAAAGAACGCGGCGATATCCATGAATACAAAATAGCGCGAAGTGAAGAATTGGAACCAAAGAAAATGATCAATCAACACAAGCACTAAATGAAATAACAGCAGAATTAATAAAAATTGTTGAATTGAAATTATCCAAGTAAAAAGAAAGAGCTTATAGCTTTGATTCTGCTACCAACCACAGCTTGCAATGAACTGTATACTTGTCAAATTTATGAATGGAAAAGTTTTTAGATTTAGTGTGTATACGCCATGGCACATTACCGAGAAGACAATTCTCCAAAATGGAAAATCGTCAAACATCCATAGAAGAATATGAATTGCTACAACGACCTGGTCAAGTCCAAAACAAGTTCCCAACATGAGATAATTAGTATTTTTTTTGAATGGCTAATAAAACAATGGTAATAATTTCTCGCGCATACATACTATAGTGGTATGTTTAATGATCTTTCTCGTTAATACGGTATATTCTTCAACGAATTCAGCTGAAAGGAAGGAATAGTCATTCGTAATATAATTTTCGACAAACTCAAATCAAAACTCGTTCAAAGATAGTGTATAATGAATTATACCTAAATAATAGAGCCCACATGCTATATAAAATTTGTAATTTAAAATAAATTTAAGCAAGAACGCTCGCCAGAATTTAAAAAAATCAATAATAAATATGTTTTATACCTAAGCTTAGTACTACAAACAAGAACGCGAGCACCGCTGCCCCGTATGATAAAAGATGTAATAATGACATACGTTTTTGTATGCACTCGTCCTTCTATAGTTACAATTCCTCAAAATATTTACGGTTTCTTACAAGAGCATATTAAAAATCGATAAATGGTTCATTTAAGTGTAATGACTATCGTTGCTGACCAATCCGTCAGTACCAAGTTACTAGCATTATCTAGATTTTGTGTGACTGAAACACGTGAAGATTGATTTACCGTTACGTATTGAAATGCTGTTATATATTAAATACGTACTTATCGAAAGACGTTGCCCTGCATAGTATATAATGGCCGGCAACGCACCTAAAGCAAGGACCATCGCCGTTTTAGGCTCTCGTGCTGTAGGCAAGTGAACCTTCTTCATTGCATTTCGTAATTATTGGGTTTGGCTGGTGTTACTTAACTGGCTTCTTCCCAAAGGTAAATCCTCCTTGACAATTCAATTCGTGGAAAACCATTTTGTTGATTCTTATTATCCTACCATCGAGAATACTTTCAACAAAGTTATAAGGTATAGAGGACAAGAAATTGCTGCAGAAATCATTGACACTGCTGGTCAGGTAATTACAAGTATATTTTTTTTGTAATTTATTACTTGGTTCATTTCATTGAACAAGTTGAATTAAAATCCAAATTTTTCTTCGATTAGGATGAGCATTCAATTTTGAATTCTACCCATGCCGTCGGAATACATGGCTATATTTTAGTATACTCGATTACTTCTAGACAAAGCTTCGAGATGGTGAAGATTATCAGGGATAAGATTTTGAATTTTACAGGAAGAGAAGCTGTTCCTATTGTTCTTGTTGGCAATAAAACAGATTTACATTTGCAAAGGTAATTATAGATAAAGAAACGTCAAATTCTTGGTTAATTCTCTTATTCAATTCGTTGCTATTTATTGCATTTATTGTTAAGGCAAGTGAATCCCGAAGAAGGTAGAGATTTGGCTTCACTATGGCATTGTGCATGGACTGAAGCTTCTGCCAAACATAATGAAAATATAAGTATGTTTTTTTATAGTTTTAATTATTTAATTCGAACATTATGTTCCAATTATAATATTTGCAATTCATTTTCTCTAGCTCGTATTTTTGAACTCATGATAAGTGAAATTGAAAAGAATCTCAATCCAAATGGCGAAGAACAAAGCAATTGTGTTGTCGTTTGAGGAATAATTTATTTATTTTTTTTTTCCTTTTTCTTTTTTTTTTTTAATGCAAATTCATAAGTCGACATTTAAAAGTTTTCGATAAAATATTTGATTAAACAATTTTTGGACTATTAATAGTTACACTATTTCTTTATTTGAATAAAATATTTACTCATGTCAAATTTATTAGTAATTACCTTTTTTGAGTGACGTTTTAATACGTATACCACGCTACTGGATGATCTTCATGACAGTCATTTGATACGTATCGGTATGGAGTTCAGAAATTTTTTCCGGAATGAATTATATGATTACAGGATTAACGATTAAAAGATCTAAAAGTGTTGAATTCTTAATCATGTAAACTATTTGTATCATAGTAACCATACGTATTAAAAAATGGCCAGGTTAATACGTATATATATGCTATTAATAATATTCATAGCATATATGTGTTTTAAAAGTGATATTTCGATTTTATTGGTCAATTATCACGTGTACATGTATGATAAATTATTAGTATGTATACTGTATTAAACTTCTACATTTTCATTATTTTATCTTTTCGATGTCTGCTAAACAATTCACTCAGAAAGCTCACGAAAGTGACGCTTTGGACGGCTTCCTCCTGGTACGACCGGTATGGGTTGACGATGAGACCGTCAAAGCTTGCAAAGGTTGCGAAGCATCCTTTAATACTCTAAGACGAAAAGTAATTACCACCATTAATCTGTTGACAATTTTATTATGTTTATAAAGCAAGAGAAATTTTCACTATAAAGTGACAGAACATGTAGTCTCGCTAATAACGGCAACTAGTTGTTTGTTTTGTCCCTTGAGCTATTCATGATTAATTAACCTCATTAAAGCACCTGTTGTCACTTATTTTTGATCAACTAGCATCATTGTCGTCAATGGTAAGTTATCACAAAAAATTGTTAATCCACAATTATTATCGGCCTAATATATTCAATTATTCAATTATTCTTTTAGTGGGAACATATTCTGTCAAGAATGCACCTCAAAAAACATTGCATTACCTCAATTAGGTTATTTAAAACCAGAACGTGTTTGCAGTGGATGTTTTGAAATCGCATATCTTGTCGGATATGTTATTTCAAATGATAAATCGACCCAGGTAATTTCGTAGTTGATTAAGTGATTACATTTATATGTTCTAATAATAAAATTTTATAATGTTTTTTTTTTCACGATTTATTATATCCATGAAATAGACACACGGTGCTCGAGGGTTACTTGACATTGTTGAACGTGGAAATGGTAAATAATTACGCGTGACACTATTTTCGTTTGGTAGTGTAAAACAACAAATGAGTTTAGATATATTTTTTTTTTAAACAGAACAAGAAATATTTCATCTCATTACTAATGGGGGATTAGACGCGTTAGTATATCTGTGTCGGGCCACTCAGTCATGTGACCTCCATTTATTAGGAACTACAGCATTGGCTAGTCTTTCCGGAAATGGTTGGTTTACTATACTACATCATTTTCTTGATCCTTCTTTCTGATTAAATTATAACAGGTTACATTTTTTTTTAGAATCATTTAAATCTCATATTATTATGAAAGGAAGTCTTCCACATTTGTATCAACTTATCCTATTATACTATAATAAATCAGAACTAGAAACATTAGATTTATCAGATACTCTAAAATTTTTGGATTCCGTTTCGAGTGTTATTTTAAATATTGCGAATGTATCGTATTACTTGTCAATCTCAGGTTAGTCTCTTGAGGGCTACAATGTAAACTTATTAACTATCGAATCCTGATGATGTCTTATTTGTATACTTAGGATCTTTATGTCAACAGATGTTAATTGACGATATAGCTTTAGACGCTATTCTAAAATTAGCAGATTTCCAATTAGGAACATTATATGATGACGATTCACCTGAAGATGATTCGCTTCCTTCTTATGAAGAAATACGTCTTCGTGTTGAATTGGCTCGTAGTCTTGCAGCTAAAACTATTTCATGCCTTTCAACATACC